TTTCCATGTCAGTAAAGGGAGAGCTCCCTCCTCATTATTTTTAAGGGCTGCAAAATATTTCATAGTATGGATGAACCGTAATATATTGGGATTGGCCAAAAAGTTCCTTCGGGTTTTTCCGTAAGATATTATGGAAAAACCCGAAGGAACTTTTTGGCCAACCCCAATATATATTGATCGTTTAAGTTGTTTCCAAAATGTTGCTATTGTATTCATTGCTATAGTGATCACCCTTCACATATATCTTTGTGTACCATTGTGAATATTTCTGTAGAATGAAATTCCTAGAGGTGAAATTAGTGGTTCAAAGAAAAATGTATTCCAAATTTATTTGAGTCTGCTAAATTATCCTCCCGACAGCCCTTACCATTTTACACTTCTACCAACTCTGGATGAGCTAGTGCTCCCACAGCCTGGCTAATACTGGGTTTTATCAATCTTTTAAATTTCTGCCAACCCAGTGAGCCAAAAGAGAAAGATACTCCATTATTTTAGATTACACTTCCCTAATTACTAGTGAAGTTGAACATCTTTTTTTTTCTGTTTTGTAATCTATTTTTTTTTTTATCAAAGTATAGTTGATTTACAGTAAACATCTTTTTATTTATGTATTCTCCATTTGTATCTCTTCTTCAGTGACTTCTGTGTTTCTTTATATTACCAATTCTCAAGGATGCGGGTAGAGGCACATCAGAATCTACAAGGGTGGGGGTGGTTTGCAAAAAGCCTAATGAATGTTATAGGTAAGGTTTTATTACTGGAAAATGACAAAAATTGTAATTCAAAATAAGGAAGGGAAGGCCTGACAAAATCTTCTTGGCTGATGGAGTACACGTTTAAAAAAGCCTGAGAAATGCTGCTTTAAATCAAAGCCCTGGAGAAGCTCCTCACTGCAGACCTGTCGGCAGCAGCAAGCATAGCAGAGCCAGGCACTGGGTGTCTTTCTGCCCTGGGCATAAGACCCAGCAGAACTGCCAACCAAGCTTTAACTCCCGCATCTGTTTTCTGCTAATCAGGAAGCAGTTGATTTTACCAGAAGCTTTGCCTCTGGGGCACCCTTCTACATCTATTGTTAATTGGGTTCTTTGTTCGTTAAATTAAATCTATTTAGTATTCACTTTCGGGTTGCTATCAACTGCTGTATTTCCCAAGGCCATGAATGTCCTCTAAACTGAAAAAGAGGACATGGGCAGAAGCCAAAGCACTCAGTCTCTGCTGTTTCCCTTCCAGGTGAGGGTTGTAAATGAAGAGCTTTATCGGAAGACTCTGGAGGAGATTGTTCGCTCCCTGGATAAGATGGAAAATGACAGCATTCCTTCTGTGTCCCTCTCCAAGCGAGAGGTAGGAAGGACGTGCTAAGGCATCAGGCTCTTCTCTTCACAGAATGTAAATCTCACCTGCTGGGGCTCAGAATTCCAAGAGGCACCTGTCAGACTACTGGACTGTAGTCTTGATCGGCTGCTTCTAAATAAAGTGAGGCTGATGATGCCAGCTGACAAGAGAGGGGTTGTTGGTTCACCTCCTGATCTTCTTAACCAGAAGCCTGTAACCTTCTGTGGCTCATATGTTTTACCCATACGTGGGCCATCCATGAGTTAAATAAGGCACAGAGGATCCAAAATGTGTTTCATTTGATCTTAGTATAGCTAGTGTGTATTCTTGCACTGGGTTTGTCTTCCTACTGATGCTTTGCTTTGAGATTAAATTGAGTCCAAAATTTTGGGTACGTATGAGTTGATGGGAAGGAAGGCAGTATGGAAAAGTAATGGGCGTTGGGAGAAGTCAAGTTAGGGCTAAAGATGTTTCATAGACGTGCCATAGCATAGATCGTTCAGAATTCACTGTACCAAAAAGTCAGTTAAATGAGGACTTACGGTGAGGGTATTTTTAATGCCCTAGATGTCCAGCTACTTGGAAGGAGGAGCTTGATTTTGGGAGTGGAATGTGTGAAGGGTGTTTTGGATATGGTCTTTGCGTATAGAAGATTTAAACTTGGATTCTGTTAGGAAATTATTTATAAAACAACATGAGTTTTTTGAATTTAGGATTTCTGAGTTAAACACAGACAACTGGTCTTTCATGGTAGCTATGACCTCCCAGGTAAATACTTAAAAGCAGGAACATGATTTGAAAGAGATGGTCCTTTGTTTTCTTTCCAGAAAGGGCAAGAATTGCCCATTTGGGGTGGCTAGGCAGGTTGCCAAGGAGAGGGCACTGGTCTGACTGGTCCTGGTCTTGTTCCCAGTTCTGTTTTCAGAATGTGAAGTACATGCAGCTGCAGATAGAGTCCTTTACCGTTCGGAATGGACAAGTGCCGTGTCGGTTTGAATTCATCAACAAGCCTGACGAAGAGTCTTACTGCAAGCAGTGGCTGAGCGCCAACCCCAGCCGAGGGTTCCTCCTGCCAGGTAAGGCCTCTGTTCCCAGGTTCCTGGTTGCTGGTTTGGGGAACACCCTACCCTATCTTTGCTCATTCTCCTGGAATAAGCTTTTTGTGTCTGAGTGTTTTGTTGTCTGCGTGAACATTTTTCAAAGCCCTGTGGATGAACCATCCATAAATAAAATATAAAATAGTAAGGAGGGGGCTTCCCTGGTGGCGCAGTGGTTGAGAGTCCGCCTGCCGACGCAGGGGACACGGGTTCGTGCCCCGGTCCAGGAGGATCCCACATGCCGCGGAGCGGCTGGGCCCGTGAGCCATGGCTGCTCAGCCTGCACGTCTGGAGCCTGTGCTCTGCAGCAGGAGAGGCCACCACAGTGAGAGGCCCGTGTACAGCAAAAAAAAAAAAAAAAA